CTAATCGTCTTGTATCAAATCGAAGTGATATTTACTGGCTAGTGTAGTGTACCCTTGTGGATATTCATCTCGAGTTAAGGCAATGCTTTGGTGCATTCACAGGAATGTTCGTTGACGAAATCCATGATGTTCAGTCAAATATATTAGGAGATCTTTTCCTCTTTGGAAGATGTGACGCGTCTAGTCATTGTCTTCTTCTCTTTGATGCCGCATCCACAACCTGTTTGAGAGGGTCTTCTAAATTAATTGTCCAGTACCAAGTTAGTATTTTAACAGTGTATTTTGTCAATGTGTTGTCTGAGAAAGCATCAATCAAGGCATTACTCGTCGTGTCTGTGAGGCGCGTGTATAAACGTTTCAAGTCCTCGATCCAAAAATTAAATCAGACGTCATACCTAGGCCATTTCACAAAATATTATACATGCCTTTCATGCTCTCTTTTGCAAAGCACTATCTCCGCGAGGTACAATACATCGTCATCCTTCATAGTTCTTCTTAGTAGAAAATACCTTCCAAACTTTTGCTATTGTAATCAGAAATCGTGTAAACTTGGTTGCGTATTGAGACATCCAGTGACAATGAACACATCTTTGGGTCAATTTGGCAAGTATTCTTATATGAAAATGTATTTGGTTTTACTGATTCCAGACCCTGCATCGATGGTGAGTTTATAATACCTCTTCTTCTTCTCCTATATCTCCGGTCCTTATCATCGTACCAGGAATGATGGAATGCATCATATTATAAAGTTATTACGAAGATACCTCAAAGTATGCATGAAGACAGTACAGCGGCAGTATCGACCGACGCGCAGCGGAGGTCGATGCGACAGCGTACTGTCTGAGTGCATACTTTGAGGTATCTTCGTAATAACCTTATTATTATACATCTTTTCCCTTCAAGGATACATCATGGAAATGCCGAAATCCAAGAAATTTAGAACAGAATCAGCGAACTTCTTTGTACGGAGTCCGGTCAAATCCTGGTGGCAGCCATGTTTGTTTTTATTAATAGAGGACGCTTACGCGCGTAATTATTCCATATTTGGAATTCGCATTTCCAAATTTGATAGTATGAAAATACCCCGTAAAATACCGCAAAATTACGGCACGCTGTAACTTATGGCGTTACGGTGACAGATGTATAATAATGTCTAATAATGGCAGGTACTAGTAGGTCAATGTGCTGTTCTTCGGAAAATATCTGAACATATTTTTCTTGATTGTTTTGTTGTGCCTCTTCATGACAATGGCATTAGCTTCTTTTTTTTCTTTTTCATGAGTCGTCTCTCTTGTCTTTCAAAGGTATGACAAAAGCATATTTTGAGAAGAAAAACGTCAATGCACGTCAACAAGAACTTGTACCCTACATTGTATCAAAGAGAGGTTGCATAGATCTGCCTCTACTGCTCGTCTACTTGGAAAATCACTATCCTTTTTCTTTTAAAGGAATGCCAAGCGGGTATATGTAGGGTATATATGTCTTGTCTACTCAGACACTTCCTCACATCTGACTTGGTTATCTTCTCTCCTCTTTGTGTTTATAGTGACGTCAGGGGCATTTAAACCCCATAACCTCTCGGACTTGGGCATTGTAAAACAGTTCTCCTAGGATGACGTTCATCATCATTGTTTACGGCCAGGGTTATTTCACAGGTGCAGAGACAGTGGATACAATCGATAAACAGAAGCAAAGTGGAACAACAGGGATCTATCACGACAGCCTGTACCGAGAGGAAGTGAGAAAGGGGTGGTGCGATGACGTTCTATATCATATGCCACCCAATGTATCAGAGATGAATGGACGTGGGCTTTGCCTCTGAGGAGCCTTCTCCTTGGGTGTGCTGCTGTGCATGTAAGACAATCGTTCCGCACTGCCGACAAAGCCATGAGTAATGTTTGACATTTTTGATTACTTTAACAAATTCTTTCCACCTAATGGGGTTGAAATTCTTCCTTTTGCGCAAGAAATCATTGATGAGAGTTTGTTGTTGTTGACAGTGCCTGGATAAGCTTCATGTAACTCAATAACTTTCACACAGACACTGTATTAAGTCACTAATTCCATTGAATATCCACTTTTGTTGATTCCAGTTGGCTTTGTGTAATACTGAGAGGATATTCGCATACTTTCACATGAAGGCTGGCTTATTGAAATGGTTGACGATGGAAGACTGTCTCTTTTAGACGTTTCTCGTGCACACTATCAGTATTTGAGATAAAACAATGTTCGGTCAATGCGTACATACTCCGGAGTGTCTGGCCTCAAATCCACAATGAGGTACCTGTGAGGTTCTCGCATGGCGTCATGCTTTCTGAACGAATTTAACACTTAAAATGGCTGTAACAGTTCCAAATTTAAATGTATTATCGTTTCGTTAAAAGTTAAATATAGTGCATAATATGAAGTTCCCGTCATTTCTTTTTTCCACCATGTTTCTTTTTTATTATTTACGTACAGCCTTGCTAAATCTTGCTAAGCATTCAAAAGAGAGAATATTTGCACCTGTTATCTATATTATAAATTCGTTTGTATAAGTATGTTCCACTATTCACAGTTCTACAAAATTTTAACAGTATATAATCAATTCCTAATTTCCGAGTTACTATTTTTCTCACGAAATTCAATAGAGGGCGTTCTCAAAAGTACCCGGATGACAGTCCGTTCAACGTTCGTGGTGGGGTTGAAATTTGAGCGGCGTCTGCTGTAAGCAATATACTCAACGCCAGTGGATACGAATGCGTCGTCGGGAACCTGAGTGGACGCCAAACTATATTCCTGGGTTTGTTCACGGCATTTTCCATCCCGCGCCAGTATTTTGTTAGTTAAATAACTGGAGACAGCCGTCTTTCAACCGCAGTTATACATCGATTGAAAAACAAAGACTTCCCGAGATGAGCGCAAACGAAAACATTGAGCCGGATTTGATGAATAATTCGCTCGTTGCCGATTGATCTTCTTGTTCAGAATCCTTATGATGGCTTTTGTTTCGAAGTTGAAGTTAAAATGACTACGGAAGGAAAAAAAACATGTGTCCATTTATGATAACTGCATCTGCTGATCGCCTGGTGAATCATATTAAATCAAACTTACACTACACAGTTACAAACACCAGAAACTATTTTAGAGTTT